GCCAGCCCTTGGGAGTGAGTTTTATCCCAGGCCCGGAGTATATCCTAGGGCCATAGTCTTGGGGAATCCCACCAGACTCCATGCAACCCGTTATTGTGTTTTTGAATTTTGTTCTATGTTTTGCCTCCCACTCTATCCAGGATCTCCAGTTTTGATCCTTTCCTGGTTGACATTGGTAGGACCAAGCAGTGTTTCATTCTGTTGTACATAGGATTGTTATGAGTGGGAACCAAATGATAAATAGGGTGTTAGTAGGTTATAAGTGGTAGCATAGTGGCTAAGGCACTTGACTGCTAACCAGAAGGCTGGCAGTTCAAACCCACCAGCCACTCCTCGGAAGGAAGATGGGGAAATCTACTTCTGTAGTGATACTGCCTCGGAAACCCAAGGAGGGGTCGCTATGAGTTGGGTCCGACTCGATGGCACACAACAACAACAACAGGTTGTAAGTGCCTTAGCACAAAATAAAAACAGGATGAGGGAGATGGGAGAGCAATTTTAAATAGGGTAGTCAGACTAGGCATCACTGAGAAGGTGATATTTGAATCAAGGCCTGATGGTGATAAGAAAATGAGTCACATGATTATAGGGGACTAGCTTTCCTGGCAGAAAAGGCAGCCAGAGAAAAATACCTGAGGCAAGAGTATGTTTGATGTGTTCTAGAAACAGCAAAGAGTCTAGTGTGGCTAGAGGAGACTAAGTAAGAGCCGGGGAACATGAGAACAGCAGATGTCAGAGGACTTTATAGGCTACTACAAAGACTGACTTTGACTCTAAGTGAGGTAGGAGTGAATGGGAGATGATTTGACTTACATTTGCAAAGGATTTTACAGGTATCATATTGAGAATAGATTAAAGGGAAAGAAGTGTAGAAGGAAGGAAATCAGATAGGAAGTTATTACTATCATCCGGGTTGGAGATGAAATAAACTAGGATATATTTGGAAGGGGGAGCTCTGGTAGCCTAGTGCCTAAGACACTTGACTGCTAACCAGAAGGCTGGCGGTTCAAGCCCACCAGCCACTCCTCGGAAGGAAGATGGGGCAATCTACTTCCGTAGTGATACTGCCTCGGCAACCCAAGGGGAGGGGTCGCTATGAGTTGGGTCCGACTCGATGGCACATAACAACAACAACAACATATTTGGAAGGTAAAGCTGACAGGATTGGCTGACAGATTGGATGTGGAGTGGGAGAAAAAGCAGTGCAGGACAATTCCAAAGGTTTTGACTTGGACAGCTGTAAGGATAGCTTTGCCATTAACTGAGATGGGAAGACTACGAGTGAACCAGGTTTTGAGGGTGGGGGTGGGTATGTGTTAAATTTGAAATGCTTGCATCCAGGTTGAGATGCTGAGTATGCACATATGAATCTGGAGTTTTGGGAAGAGGTGCCAGCTGAAGATTAAATATAGAAAGTATAGAAAGCCCTGATACTGAGTGAGATCACCAAGGGAGTGAATTTTAATAATCAGGAGACCTAAGGATTCAGTCCTAGGCCACTGTTGACTGGCCAGTATGAGAGGATGAAAAGTAGGTGTTTTACTTGGGGGCAGACTGATTAGCTGTGTCAAATCTTGAGTAATGTCATTACCTTCCACCTGGTTACCCAAGGTAATGGTCGGTATCTCTTCACACAGGCTTTAGTTCAAAGGACAAACATTTTTAAAATATTTCAGGTGATCATTTTTTCCAAATGAGTAATTGGTGAGAAAAGTATAGGAGGGAGTGTCATATATCTAATAATTACGAATCGGAAGCAGGGCCACTTACATCCTGTCTTCATTTTTCCGTATAACTAAGTATAGGCATAGCAGCCACACTAGTGATCCACAGCAGTTGTTGTTGTCATGTTGTCCCTCCAAGGGACCAATGTCTCTTGTTTTCCCCTAGTAACTACTGTGACTACCCCTACTTTGATGTTATTGTGTGCTACTGAGTCATTTTCCACTCACAGCAACCTGATGTGACAGAGAACTGCCCCTTAGGGTTTCCTAAGCTGTAATCCATACAGAAGCAGATCACCAGGTCTTTTTTTTTTCTGAGGGAACTGCCCTCCTTTCAGTTAGCAGCAACCACTTAACTATTTTGTCACCAGGGCTTCATCCCTACTTTACTGTTCCTGGTTTAGCTGCGCCATCTCTGTATCTTGAGATCTTATTAAGAGGGAGGGTCTGACTAGGCCACTGGGTTACCCTGGTGTTGGGTAGAGCCCTCACATTGGTCACCTCAGTGGGGTTTTCTGTGTACAGCTTTTCCAGTGCTCTCAGAGCTCTTCTGTAATTTCTTACCATTTTGAATACATAACTCATCATAAGTTATTGTAATTCTCTTCCTTCCTGTCTCCCCTATTGGACTAAGAGTTCCTAGATGACAGGAAATGTCTTATTTTTTCCCAGTTCCTAGAACATCATGTTCAAAAAGTGATCTTTGAATGGGTGAGTGAATGAGTGGTTGAATGGAACAACTGGAGAACAACTAATAGCAGCTTTTTTTTTTTTTTTTTTAATGGCCTTTTCTTGTTCTTTTGGCCTGCCTCTGAGGTTCCTTGTACTGGTTTCAGAGAATGGTGGACTGAAGCCTCCAGATGAGTGGACTGTGATAATCTCCAAAGACAACACCACCTAGCCTGGTCTTTTGAACTGGCCTTTTCCTTGGTGTAAACATCTGTGTGGAAGGCAGCATTTGGGTTTTAAAGGATTATAAAATGATCTATAAGAGGTGAAATCCTCACAGAATTTAGAATTTACCAGAACTAACCAGCCACTCCTCAGAAGGAAGATGGGTCAATCTACTTCCGTAGTGATACTGTCTTGGAAACCCAAGGAGGGGTCACTATGAGTTGGGTCCGACTCGACAGCATGTAACAACAAGAACAACAATCAGGAACAAGGATCTCTGCTAGCGTTGTGGTTAAAGCATTGGGCTGCTAACCAAAAGATCAGTAGTTCGAATCTATGAGCTACTGTATGGGAAAAAGATGAGCCAGTCTGCTTCCGCAAAGATTTACAGCCTTGGAAACCCTGTGGGAGCAGTTTTACTCTGTCCTAAAGGGTCAATATGAGTGAGAATTGACACAATGGCAGAGGTTTTTTCTTTTTCTTTTTTTTTTTTTTTAAATCAGGAACAAGAAGTTCTGCATATGGTTAAAGATTTTGGCTGCTAACTAAAAGGTTTGAACCCACCAACCACTCTGTGAGAGAAAGATGAGGCAGTCTGCTTTTGTAAAGGTTTACAGCCTTGGAAACCTTAGGGGCCAGTTCTGCTGTGTCCTATAGGGATGCTATGAATAATCAAGAACAACTAACTAGGAACAGGGGTTATACAGAGCTGAAAAGTTTATAAGTAGTAAGAAAGTTAGATCTGAGTAAAGACAACATTATTATAGCTGTCCAGGAGCAGTGTTTGATGTTGAAATGAGTTGTGTAAGATGAGTGAGTACTGTAGGAGTTGGGAGAAGGAGGGGTTACTTCAGGCTGGAGTGGTCTGGGAAGACCTTGTGAAGAAGGAGGCTGGAGGCTGGGTCATAGAGGATGGATAAGGATTGGCAAGGACCAGGAAAGAAGAGCAGAGGGGATGGTATGAGCAAAGGAGCGAGAAGTATCTGCAACAATGAGTGGACTAGAACTCTTTGTGTGTGGAGAGACAGAAGTGTGCCTCCATAGTAGACAAAGGGTGAGGTCCCACGTGTGTATTGTAATAATATTTGCAATCTGCCATCAGCTGGGGGAGAAGGCATAGGGAAGGGAAGAGGCCCTTTGTAAGTTGGAAAAGAGAGTTATTGAAACTTGGATCATCTCAGCCCAAATTCATCTGAATAGAATTTTCAGAGTTCATTTTTAGAGGAGGAAATTTTCAGAGTTCATTTTTAGTAAAAGAAAGAAGAGACTGCAGAGGATTGAGAAGAGGCTTCTCATGTCACGCTGTTCATGAAATCCTATAGAATAGAGAACTGAATTAGTATTGTCTGTGCTTTTAGATCCCAGATAACATTTAAATTTACATACAAATAGGGTAAAGATGACTGGTAGACAATTTGGAAGGTACTTTGTTGGTGTATCCATTCTGGATAAAGTTTGGTGGATGAGAGAAAGGATATCTTAAAAAGTTATCTGTGAGGAGCATCCTGTGGGCTGGGTGGAAGAGTAGGGTGGTATTGAAAAAAGATATGTGCAGGAGTAATTAAGAGATTACGTTAGGGTAAAAGTCAAGTGAAGCCAGAACAAGATGCTGGTGAGCTCTGAAAGTAGATTAAACAAGTCACAAGAGAATGGCTAGTTGGTGAAAGACCTTGTAGGAGCCAAATGAACTAATTCCTTTAGAGCTTTTGAGGGCCTTTATTTGGGCTTCTTAGCATTTATAATACCCAAAAGAAGTGAATTGGTTATAATAACTCTTGTCTCCACACAGTTTTCCTCTGTCTAGCCAGGTTACCAGTAAACCAATTGCTGTCAATTCCAACTCATGGTGATCTCATGCATGGCAGAGTAGAACTGTGCTCCATATGGTTTCCAAGTGCTGATTTTTCAGAAGTAGATCACCAGGCCTTTCTTCCAAGGCACCTTGGGTGGACTCAATCCTCCAACCTTTCAGTTAGCAGCAGAGCTAGTTAACAGTTGTGCCATCCAGGGATTGGTAAAACCTAGCCTCAGGCAATGTTACTAGGGGGAGTCTGGGTCTTCTAGCTAGCTGAGTTTTTGCCAGTGTAGGCCTCCAAAGGATCTTCTCAACTGAGAGCCCACTCAAAAATGGGCATCTGGCCCATGCTGTTGTCCCACTGAGATAGCTCCCTGGGAGTAAGGCAGAGTGACAAGCATAGGCAGGCGGCTCCAGGGCAAAGCCTTTCAATGCATTCCCTCATCCCACCCACCATACAAACAAGCTGTGTACTTTTGAGGAAGAGGAAAATAAAAAAAAAATCAAGCAGGGGTGTAGAACTTTGTAGTGCACACAGGGAGTCGACTGTAGAAATGTCTAATGTTGCATTTTCTCTTTTGCAAAAGGGTATCATGCCTGTGGAAAGGATGCGAATGCGCCCATGGCTGGAGGAACAGATAAATTCAAATACAATACCAGGGTTAAAGTGGCTTAACAAGGTAAGCACTTTGGGTGTGAATGTGTGTGTGTGTGCACCTGTGCACACACGTGTGTGTGTGTCTGAGAGAGACAGGTCTGCCACAAGTAAAATTGTTATTCATGTTCAAAACCTTGTGTTCATTAATTACAAAAACAAACCACCCACCCAAAGAACCATCAAAACACTGAGTTGTCATATAAATAAGATTATTATCATCTTCTCAGACCGTAGCCTCAAGCTTGAGTTACCAGTTTCAGCTCACCTCTGGTGTTTTGCGAGGAGCGCTGGTGGCACTATGGTTAAGACATTGAGCTGCTAACCAAAAGGTAGGCGATTCCAACCCCCCAGCTGCTCCACGGGAGGAAGATGAGGCAATCTACTTCCATAAAGATTTACAGCCTTGGAAACCCGATAGGGATCGCTGAGAGTCAGAATAGACTTGATGGCAGTGGGTTTGATTTTTTTTTTTTTTTTGGTTGGTGTTTTGGGTGACTATTTATAGGAAACTTCTTGCTGTGTTTTTCTTCAAGGACTCTTTCCCTCTTCTCCAAATTCTTGTTCTGCTTGCCCTGGCTGTCTAGGCTTAAAAGTCATAGAAATTCCAGGACTTTATATTAGGAATGAATTAGATTTTCTTTTCAGTGGTCTCTATGTAAAAAAAAACTTACTTTGTCTTTAAAAAAAGTTTTCTTTCCATCTTTGTCATGAAACCGTAACCATGTACCCAGCTGTTCTAAAAAAGAAAAAGTGTATCATCACAACACACTCCACCTCACCCTAATGTATTTACATAAATACTCCCTTAACTTTAACAACTGCAAAACTTCCCATTCAATTGATCCTAGCTGTTAAGGGCAAATCAGAAAGAGATGATGTATGTAAAAATAAAATCATCTGAAAATATATACTTATAATGTAAAAAGGCAACCAAATAAAATATAGCATGCCTTCTTTAAGGAAGAAGTGTCTCTCCTGCTACTGAGGATAATTGTGATTCTTGTGTGCAGATGTCTTTTTCTTCTTTTCCCCTCCTCACCCTCCCACCTCTTTTCTTTTTTTTAATCTCAAGGACACAATGAATAATTTAGCTGGTCAGCTTCATCTTTGTATCAGGGACTGAAGAGTTTAGAACCAGATTGTAGCCTGGTTCTCACTAATCTCACACCTGGCTTCACTTTATCTTTCCAGATATCTATCAAATTTCATTTCTTTCTTCCTTATTCACTTATATTTAATTTAATGCTGATTTGAATGCATCTGTTTAAGTGAGTCCTTTCTCATAGCATAGGGTCAAAGTAAATAGATGTAATTTAAATAAGCCATGTGTTCATTTTATGTGACCTTAAAAGTATAAAGTTGTCTGCAAAAATTCAAATTGATGGCAAACAGTGAGTTTTTATGGGCTTGCAGTATGTATAGTGCATTAGACTTATATCCTGGAGGGACTGTAATTATTAGCTCCTTCCCAAACAAGAAATCAGGGTGCACCTCTGCCTGCCTAATTAATAAGGAGACATAAGGAGGTATCAGGAAAAGGGGAGATGGTAGTAAAGGAAAGTTGAAGAGACATAGTGTAATAAATGATAATACTCTGGTAGCATAGTGGCTAAGACACTTGCCTGCTAACCAGACGGCTGGCGGTTCAAACCCACCAGCCACTCCTCGGAAGGAAGGTTGGGCAATCCTACTTCCGTAGTGATACTGCCTCGGAAACCCAAGGAGGGGTCGCTATGAGTCAGGGCCGACTCCACGGCACATAACAACAACAACAATAATAGCACTTACTAAGTGCTTACTGTGTGCCAGGTACTCCTCTATGTAATGTACTTGTATTAACTCACATAATCCCTACTATGTGATAGGTCCTTTCACTATTTCCAATTTACAAATGAAGAAACTTGAGACAGAGGCAGGTTAAGTAGGCTTATATTTTGAAGAATAAGATAACATTACCTTTTTTCTCCCCTCCATGCTTCACTGATGTTGTTAAGGTGCCCTTGGGTTGATTCTGACTCTTAGTGACCCTATATGACAGAGTAGAAATACCCAATAGGGTTTTCTAGGCTATGTTCTTTACAGAAGCAGATTGCCAGATCTTGCTTCCAGGCAGACACTGGGTGGTTTTGAACTGACATCCTCTCTGTTCGCAACTGAGTGCTTAACCACTACCCCATGAGAACTCCTTAACATACATACCTATTTTGATTTATAGTATGAGATTAAAACAGATCTTCTTCAGTTCTGAGAAGAAGTAAGTTTTTTTTTTTTTTTTTTGCTTTCCTTAAAGCGTATCTACCAATTTTGGTTGGTTTGATGCAGTGGAGAACATAGAAAGTCATCATGCTGCATATACAGAGTAGGCACTTGCTATGCTGCGATGAGTTGCCTTCTGTAGTGGATTGAATTGTGGCCCTCAAAATGATATGTCCATGTCCTAACCCTGTGAATGTGACCTTATTTGGAAAAAGAGTCTTTGCAGATGTAATGAAGTTAAGGATCTCAAAATGAGATCATCCTAGATTATCCAGGTGGGCTCTAAATCCAGTCAGGTGTCCATACTTATATGACATAAGAAGAAGAAACACAGAGAGGAGGAGAAGGCCAAGTGAAGATGAAAGCAGAGATTGAAATTAGGTGATCATCAGCCAAGGAATACCTGGAGCCACTAGAAGCTAGAAAAGTTAAGGAAGGACCTTCCCTAGAGCCTTGGGAGGAAGCATGGCCCTGCCGACACCTTCATTTCAGACATCTAGCCTCCAGAACTGTGAGAGAATGAATTTCTGTTGTCATAAGCCACCCAATTTGTGGTATTTTGTTACAGCAGCCCGGGGAAACTAATGCAGCCTCTAAGGATGTTTCCTACCAAAGACACATGAAAACAATTTGTCCAAGTGACTGGTACACCATGCAATCTCATACAACTATGAGACCAGAAGAACCAGATGGTGCCTGGCTACCACTGTCAACCACTCAGAAGGGGGATCTATGTAGGAGGTTCTGGATAGAGTGGGAGAATGACGTGGAACAAAACTCAAAATCATTAAAAAAAGAAAGAAAGAAAAGGACCAGGTTTGCTGGTCTGATAGAGATTGATGGAACCATTGAGACTATGGCCCCTAGCTACCCTCAGGTCTGGAATTGAACCCACTCCTGTGGCTTCCAGCCAAACAAAGGACAGGCATATGGGCTGAACATTTACAATAGGTAGATACACTCTTTGGAGAAATCAATCATGGGGGAATAGAAGGGCTATGTATGCACAGAGAGACAGCTCAGGGAACAGGAGTGCATGGGAGGGAAGGACACAGGGAAGAGATACCTATGTGGAGGAAGTGGGAGGGGAGCTGTTGCAGTGTGGTAAATTGTAATCAATGTCATGAGACAAAGTGTGTGTGAACTGCTGTATGGAAAATGAATTTGCTCTGTAAACTTTCACCCAAATCACAATAAAATTTTAATTAAAAAAAAAAATACAACAACACACACATAATGATTCTTAAAAAAAAAAGGTGTTACCTTACTTGGGATTTCCACTTAGATGGCTTTTCTTCCATCCATTTTGTCCATGTTCTCATATGAGACCAGAAGGAAATATATTCCTCTTTGTACAACTGGCCACTTAGATCCTCTCAGGTGGCCCTTACCTACCAAGCTTCACTCATCTGGTTATTGATGTATCAGTTCTCTTTCTAAGCAGAGAGGGAAGGGGAATCCTCTCTGCCATCTTGCCTGGCTCCTCTGATGGAACTGGACATGGGCTAGGCTGAAGGAAGGGGCACATGTGCTTGGTGCCTGAAGACAGTGCCTCTCAGTAGTGCTGGCACAGGAGTCTGTGGGCTGTAGTGGTGGCATGAGAGGCCTGGTCAGGCAGGCCTTCAACTGGGCCCTCCTTCAGAGTGAGCATGTGGCAGTGTTTGTGCAGTAGATACTGTGACTACCGGCCTTGGATGGGGTCAAGGCATTTTCTTTACATGCTTACACTCCCACAGAGCATCTTTCTATGGGTTTCTACCAACTTTGGGCTCAGGTTTCACTAACTATCTTAGTTATCTGATGCTACTATAACAGAAATCCCACAAGTGGATGGCTTTATCCAACAGGAATTTATTCTCTCATAGTTTGTTTGTTGTTGTTAGGTGCCGTCAAGTCGGCTCTGACTCATAGCAACCCTTTGTACAACAGAATCAAACACTGCCCGGTCCTGGGCCAGCCTCACAATCTTTGCTATGCTTGAGCCCACTATGTTGTTGTAGCCACTATGTCAGGCCATCTCCTTGAGAGTCTTCCCCTTTTTACCAAGCATGATCTCTTTCTTCAAGAACTGGTGCCTTCTGATAATATTAGCAAAATATGTTTAGGCTGGATGTGCAAATCAGGGCACTCTGGCTCTTGGGGGAAGGCTTTCTCTCTGTTGGCTTTTGGCAAGGTTCTTATTCCTTGGTTCTTTGGTGATATTCATGTGGTATGGGATCTATATTCTGCCATCTCTTCTTTTTTAATCTCCTTCTTTTACATTTTATAAGAGATTGACTCAAAACACCCTACATTAATTCTGCATCATTAACATAACAAAGACAATCCATTCCCAAATGAGATTATAATCACAAACATAGAGGTTAGGATTTACAACACATATTTGTGTGGGAAACAATTCAGTTCATAACACTAACTTAAACTTGTTGGCAATCATCTGTCCACATAAATGCTTAACTGAAAGTCTAATACTGTTTACTTCCCATTCATAAGCATTCTGCCTAGTAGTCCCTGTTTACATTTTAAGTGGTTTGAGGTAGAAATAGGACCTTCCAAAATCTCTTCTCCCACTGAAGACTATTTTAGAAAATGGACCTTGTCCCTTGGCTTTGTGGTCAACTCATGCCCTAGTCGGTATGCGCAATGTTTCACATTTGTGGTGAAGGCCCTGGTGGAAGTGCTCTGGGCTCTGAGCTCCAGGAGGGTGGGCGTATGGCTGTGCTGATCTGGGCTGCACAGATGGCGCCAGGCCTGGTCCCTGACACT